GGACTCATCCAGGATCTTGTGATCCTCAACATCTATTGTAACTTTATCGGAATCGGACAAAAATTGTAATCATTGAAGGGTTCAGAAACTTCCTGCATATTTTACATTTTGCGACCTTTCACACGTCCAATTGAATAGGAATTTAATTCCAAATCCTGATCCTACCTGGGATATTACCAGAACACTTAGATACAGTACAGTTGTTGTTGACACTTGACGTCTAAACATTCCTATTCCTATAGGATTAGGGCCCTATAAGGCTTTACTAGTCTCATAGTGTTTTTGCCCCTGCTACATATCAATCGCGTAATTTTCAGAGAAATATATACACAGATAATCCCAAATTACTTACAATCCTCGGAATAAAGCACCACACTTATATTATTAACCAAGAAGGAACATCAATATATAGTGATATGTTATATACTTTTTGTAATTTTATACATATAAGGTTTATATATCAATTCCATTTAATAATTACCGACAGGTAAGTAAAGCTTTTTAAATGGTTAAATGATATGATACTGGTGTATTAGTTCGAATTAGGTAGATTCTATCTATAATCATAATTCAAAGGGCAACGTGCCTTATGATTTACTATTTTACTTTTTTTAATTTTTAAAGTAAAAAATATCTTATATCACATTTTCTTACAATCTAGTGTTCGTATCTTCACAAGCAATCATATCTCTAAAACTAACTAAATGACGGCAATTAATGGTGGTGTGAGACCAACATATCATAAGATATGCGAATGTTTCAAAATTTTCTATAACAAATCGAAGAAATACAGACATGCTTCGTGAATTCATTCAAGATTATTAATACGACTAGATGTCATCGTTATTACGGTTCAATAATCGTAGTATAAAAGACAACAGCTAATTTGATAATTATTTCTTCAGTCTGTCGCCTTCAGATCGCCTGTGTACAAATTAAAAGGTCAATTCCCGCGATAATTTTAGCGTTAAATTCACTATTATATGTATCAAAAATGTTTAGATAGTACCGCTAAAAAATGTACAAACCTTTGGTCTTTTCTAATCAAATTTTATAAAAGTAACCAGGACCTGAAATAAAATAACTCCCAATTCTATTTTCAAAATGACTAACAGTTTATTTGATAATGATCCACAGTTGAGTAAAAGCTTTTAGAAGCATAATTGTTAGAAAGCTTCACGGTGTATATATCATTATTTTATAATTATATTTAAATACAACAAAAGATTTTAATGCCTTTCTAATCATATTTAAATTCCATTTAATGTCACAGATTCATTCTATTTCAATTCCATTATTGTAATGGCATACATCGATTATCATATTTAAATTCCATTTAATAATTATCCAAGGATTAGTTGTGGAATTTAGTCCATTGGAAATTCGGCTAGAATAAGCTAAATAGTAAAACTTTTTTAAAGGGTCAAACCTATTTGATTTATAATTTAGTTAGACATGATGTGTTGCTTCAATTAGGGTTATCTTTATTGTCCCTTTTCACACCTGGCTTCGCTCTGGGAAGATAAACTGGTCTGGATTCGTGTATCCCTACAATCATATGTATATGTCCTTAAATGTCAAGATATAAGTCCTTGGTAAGGAATCCCGATGCAAGTCAATTAATGAAATAAAGAAATACCGTATTATAGTCTCAGATGACCAAATAATGTTGAATGAAATTAAAATCCACTTACCTCCATCCATTTATCAATGCATCTATCTACCTTCTTTCATTTTTATCGAATGTAGTATATATTTATGAACTGCCCATTAAACTATGTGCATCTCCATAATATATTATACAGTCATGTATTGGTAATCTGCTAATCCTTTGACTGTAATAGTAATGTCGACATCCATAGAATTAATCAAAGTAAGGATATGAAAGAGGTGAAATGTACGAAAGACGAGTAGGGATATTCCAACTTCAAAGTTCCGACTTCTAACTTCTAAGTTCCAAGTTCCAACTTCCATGTTCCATGTTTCATTCTCCATTTTATCAGTAGCTCAGTGCGTGTAAGATTTTGTTAATAGCTTAAATAAAGCAAGTTTTTATCAATATTTATAGTTTATAAATACACTTAGTACAGGTATCTACGAAAGACCGACAGGGAAATTCCAGCTTCCATGTTCCATGTTCGAAGTTCCAAGTTCGGACTTCCAAGTTCATAGTATCACGTGATAGCAATACGGCCAGACAGCCAGAATAACACGTGATTGAAAAATTAAAATGAATGAGATTAAACAACTATTTGGCGAAGACAGAGGCTTTGAGCCGATGAAAATATGCGCTGTTATTTTAATGGCAAAATTTCCATTAAATACAAAAATATGTGACTTGAGATTTTAAGTAGAATAAATGACTGTCATGTACACTAATAATATACATGTACCAGGAACAATTATGTATATGGCCCAAGAATTATTGTATTCACGCTGAGGCTACAGATATCCAATGATAAAGCTCCCAAACTTAAAGATTTATCTTGCAGTTAAAATAAACCACTCGACCAATAAATGAAAGATTGATTAAAATACATATGTAAGATCTGAAGCCTTCCGTAGAGGAAAATACCACACATTCCATAATGTAGCATTTTTTTTGTGTGTTTTTTTGTGCTTATTCTATTCACCAGATTATTGTATCAGTTTTTTTTTCAAGTGTTAATATTTAAGAAAAGAATAATTTCCATCTTCATGTGAGATTAATAATCAAGAACTAAACCAAGAGAGGTTTTCACTTCACTGTTTACAGCAATATCTAGATTTTGACAGATGCCCCCCGCGCAATCCCTGCACCTCTGACAAGGGGAAACCACACCGGCTAGCGAGTCTGGATCTTACTCAATTAGCCATTGTTGCTCCTGTTGAACGTTAAACGCTATTTTATTTCATTTCATTTTCCTACTTTTCCGAACCAATCGGACTATTGAAGATAGGCATACGTCATGCAGTGTGATATGACGGAAATTATCAATGGGCCATGGCATTTCTTTGTCGAATTTCAACTACGAAGGATTCTTTTAAGTGCACGCCAATGTGTACACAGGAGCTAGTTTTTTTTACATCATCCATAATACTAGACACTTTTCTTTGCCAGGCCCCTTGTCCTGCACTATCGACATGAACAAACCACGCTGCAAAATCCCGGGGAACTTTCAGTGTACATAATCATAGTATTGAGAGGATTATGGCCGATAACCCGACAACCCGACATCACGACATTTTAACCTGACAATACGACATTTTTACGCGACATTACGTGGTGCGCACGTAAAAGATCCCTTAATCCTGATGGAATTCGATAAATTGGTCGTAGCGTCGCTGTCCAGGCAAAATTGCCCTCATAAACCTCGAGAAAGAACAGTACCGTATGACGTTAAACCCCATTTCATTTGATTGCTGCTATTTCCGATGTGTGTTAATTACATTTACTTGCAAGTTGTAATAACGGATAATGATTTACAGCACACTCGACACAAACCAGGTCATTTCGGGACATATGGATCAATTATTTTCAATTATTCGCTTGCGCGTAGGGGTCTTTCGCTGTGGGAGGAACCCGGACGACCCGGAGAAAACCCGGGTGTTGGACAGGCTAGCAAACTCCTTGTCACATACGACCGGGGAATCGAAACCACGCCAGTTGACTCAATGACAGACCTTATGATACAGCGCGCACGAGCTAACCATTCGGCCACCTATCCGCCTTAAAAAAAATAAGTCAATTAGTATTAGACACCTGTACTAGGTGTATTTATAAACTATAAATATTGATAAAAACTTGCTTTATTTAAAGGCTCAATACCACTCTTATTGTAACTGAATAATATGTCCCAATCTTTATTCTGGTCAACAAATTGTACTATTTTAGAATATTTCAATTAATTGATGATACTAATTTCATCTTAACACACCTTATTTAAAAATTTTGAAAAATTCAACATAATGGTTTGAAATGTCTAACGTAAACCTTTTCAAATGAAACTTCGATTTAAAAATATTTTCGAACCCTCTGGACAAGTAAAATAGGATGTAATGGATAATTTACACAACAGGTAGGACACTTAAACATCTAGTACATAGACAGAGATATTATTTATTTTCTGGAGCTTTCAAGCCAGCAAGAGTGTTATTGTCCCTTTAAGCTATTAACACAATCTTACACGCACTGCGCTAATGATAAAATGGAGAATGAAACATGGAACATGGAAGTTGGAACTTGGAACTTAGAAGTTAGAAGTCGGAACTTTGAAGTTGGAATGTCCCTACCGGTCTTCCGTAGAAATGTCATTATTTAGAGCACATATATATATGGTCAATTTTTATCATTCTACCCCATTGAAACGCGAACGGCCATGGGACGCAGTGGATGCCACAAGCGTTTGTTTAGCGTGATAGGTATTGTAATTTTAAGTAGTTTGACGTTGCCGGTTACAGATGCGTCTAGTGTGCCAAATGATGTCAGCAACTACAAACCTAAAGATGATCAACCATCATACAGATTTGCTTTTGAAGAAGCGAACGCTTCATATACAGACTTTGAATCTCAGACAATCTACATTTATGAGTTGGTTTGTCGGCAAAGCTGTAAAAAAAGATTGAACTCGAAATATAACATTTTCTGTGAACCATGTTTTTGTGATGAATCATGTCATTACTATGGTGACTGCTGCCCAGATTTGAAACGAATACCAGCGATGGCCGTGCGCACAAAATGTGGTTCAACAGTATTTCCGGGTAAAGGCATTTCCATCAAGAAAGTGGGTGAATGTCCCGGGGCCTACTCGGACACAAATCTCCAGAAACTTTGCAACCAAAACAGCACCGACAACTGGCGATTTACACAACTGGTCTCGGACCTTACAACAGGTTTAGTTTACAAAAATAAATACTGTGCCCAGTGCAACGGTGTTCAAAATTGGGATACGTGGAAAGCCAACGTGGTTTGTGCATCAGGATTGCCGATATTTACGGACACGTCATCAAAGGAACAAATATTTCGGGATATCATGGGGAAAAGTGAGTGTACTGTCAAATATATACCACCCGAGAATTCTATAGTTCACCAATGTTCAACAACCCATGACTATGTGTCCTTTACCACATGTAACGAAACTGGTCAGTGGCTACGATTCGACGACTTGGTGAATAAAGCATGCGAAGATCTGCCGTACAACCCAGTTCGTGATTATAAGAATATATTTTGCTACATATGTAACACATACCGCACATGGGAATACATAAAGGCGGATTACATACCCAAGGACCCTACGCCTTTCTCGGTTGCTCTGTCGTCTTTATTAGATCTTTCTGATGGAACCCCGATGGCGAATGAGGCGGCTTTGAATGAGTTGACCTGTTCAGAGCTAGAAGACCCGTATTTGGTAAGTAATAATGGTCATGTTTATTATTCCAGATAAGTAAATACTCATAGTCTGTCTCGCACACGGTACCCATTAAACCCTGTAGCTACAAGGCCCAACCTTGACTTTATAAAATCGGCCGATGCACACATAACTTAAAGGGATAATAACACTCTTGCTGGCTTGACAGCTCCAGAAGATAAATAATAGCCTTATTCTAAGTATTAGATGTTTATGTGTCTTACCTGTTGTGTAAATTATCCATTACATCCTATTTTCCTTGTTCAGAGGGTTCGAAAATATTTTTAAATCCAAGTCACATTTGAAAAGGTTTACGTTAGGCTTTTCAAATCATTTAGTTGAATTTTTCCAATTTTTTAAATTAGGTGTGTTAACATGAAATTTGTATCATCAATTAATTGGAATATTGTAAAATAGTACAATTTGTTGACTTGAATAAAGATTGGGACATATTATTCAGTTTCAACAAGAGTGGTATTGAGCCTTTAAGCCCCAAATTAGAACTCGAATATTGAGTGCATAAAAACATAGTATGTACATATAATGGTGACATGTTCCTTATAAAGAGTGAGCTTTAATAACTATTTAGGGTGATTTTTATGGTTACTCAATACATCAGTCAGTCTTTCGGCATTTTTAACATCCCAATTTCATTATCCAGATAATACTTTGAATTCCGATAAAAATTTTATAAATGCAGAATATGTAACACATTCTCTCACTAAACGGTTTACATTTCTAATTTTGACTGTTTTTCTTTAGTGTACTTGCAGGAACACCAGTTGTGTTAATGGCAAGAAGCTCAAGGGTGGAGAATGTGTATCTGTATTTGAAGTCACCAATTTAATTAGCTATTTGATAGTTTTAGAGGTGGAGGTACGATTCAACTCAACCGTCATTAGCTCAGACGACACCTTGAATTTTAAAGATATAATACAAAGTAACATAGCTGAATTGGTGGGTAGTTTGACATTTATGATTACAATTGTACAATATATTAGTCCGTGTAGGGAGAGTATGACCATAATCTATGGAGTGGAGTTTCCGGTTATCTTCAAAAAAGCAGTGAACATCAGAGAATTTGAAAACAGAATTTTGTCAGAATTACCAAGATGGGGTCAAATGAACATAGATATGCACTTAACCTTTTCATTTAAAGGCAAACGTTTACGTCCACAATTTACTTATATTCTCAACAGTGATCTAACTATTCCTTGTAAGAAATACAATTCCGTCAACATGTTTCATCGCATGCAAAATGAGAATATTTTGTTCACAATGTCAGAAACAGTAACTTTTCATAAAATTTATACGTGTCCATCTATAGCTCTCCATGAAACCGAAGTTATCTTTTATATTGCCAACAAAACTTTACTGATAAGAGCGAATAACAGATTACTTAACGACTTTGAATTCCAAATAACAATGGATGGTGGTTATTTGGTGTGCGTTGATGATTACACTCAACAAGCTATTGGTGCAGAAGCAAAGCCATGTCCCGATGCAGGAACAACTAAATTTGTTAGTTACCCAAAATCTAGCATATCAACATTGGGTCTATTGTCTGGTATCTGCACAAGTTGTTCATTGTTCTTTCTTTTCGTCACATTTCTTGTGTTCTGTCTTCTAAAGAAACACTGTACATCAACTGGAACAGGCATCATGGCGCTGACTGTAACACTCTTCATAGCCCAGGCTTTGTTTGAATTTGGAGCTGAACAGATAGAGATAAAATGGGTTTGTGAAACACTTGGAGTCCTGACTCATTTCTTTTGGTTGTCGGCCACTTTCTGGATGAACGTATGCACTAGTATACTTTTCTACAATTTGACTTACCCAATGGAGTCACGGCTTATATCCACAGGTAAGATGATGTTTTACTCAATTCTCTATACATGGGGATGTCCTATGCTGATTGTTATGGTAGTGATTCTAACTTCCCATTTACAGTTTGGTAACCTGGGTTATGGAGGATCATCCTGTTACATCACCACATCTACATGTAGAAGATTCGCATTTGCACTACCCGTAGGATTATTGATATTACTTAATATTGGCTTATTCTCTTACACGTTCATCAAACTTCGACGAGCCAAAAAGATTCAGTCAAATCAAGAAAATCAGATCGGTATGTTCGCTTGTCTGAAACTATCAGTTATCACTGGACTCACTTGGATTTTTGCTTTCCTTTATGAGGCTACGGGATATGAAGCTTTTGTTTATTTATTTACCGTTTTTGTTGGTGCCCAGGGCTTTATACTGTTTTTGGTATTTGCATGCAACAAAAGAATCTTCAAGCAGGTGAAAAGTGTGTATACTAACACCAAGACCAATGAAAGATCTGGGAATAATAAATCAAGAGCCGAAATTAAAGACGAGACCAAAAACCTCCCAAACACACGTCCCCCATCCATGGCAGAAGTGAACGCTGTTGAAAACAATTCAACAAATAAAGGTTGAAGTTCCCTCAAACATTGCCTACAAAAGTTTTGTGACGGAGGTGTTGAATTGAAAAGAAGAAATTGGTGGTGGTCAACAGGTATCTTAAGACGACGGATGAATTTTGCGTCGCTCATTAGAAATTGGGTGGACGTATTCCTACTTAGATCATTTTGAGGTTAACGTAGGGTCTTTGTTTAATTTTGTTTAGGTTAATCCCATTAGTGTTTCTTGAAAATATTTATATAATCTGACGTATCAAGCGTTATTATTCGTACTGAATTGATATTTGAAACATCACAATTAAAGGTAGTACTTTATATTTAAATATTTTGAAAATGTGTTTATGTTGTTGTTATATTTGAAATAAATGTACCAATTTAATCTGCCTTGTACTGCATATACATTAATAGTGATACTGATAGTAGTCTTGTTTGTACCATATTGCGCACAAGGTTTGTGTAGGCAATGAAGCCTAATTTGTACCACTGGCTCGTGTAAAAAGGAAACTCACTTTCATTGACCCTCCTTTACACACTTGCCGAAAATCAACCGGTCGTAATACTCACTACTTCTGAAATTTGTTATAAATTTGAGTCTACTATTTTGTTAAAGGTCTAACCATATGTCGAAACGATTGGTAAGTATACTACGACCGACTGACTGAAAGTAAGGTCAATCTCCAGATCGTGACCCTGTATTCAAACTCACCGAAAGTTACAACATAAACCTCTTGTCTTGAGATTAACAATGTAATTACTTAATCGTTTTGTTCTGGAAACAGGTTTGTTAGAATGACAATGATCTTAGAGAGCAGACAAGTAAAGATTTGTTGGCATTGTAGAAACCACCATGACTCGATCAACTTTATTTGAATAAATCCCACCCAACAGTGTGCTTGATTGTGGACGACCACGAACATTGAACCTAAGGTGCGAGTTTGCTTGTCGTTGGGGGGGGGGGGGGGGTATCGACGATGAAAAAGGAGTCAGTCCCAAATTTACAATTAAACGCAATAGGTAAGGCGAGAAATTAATTGTAAATCATTAATGGCGCGCTTCGGTTAGCAATCATCATCATATTGTATAAAATTTGTAAATTTATATACGAACGAAGACAAGAATATGTTGCAATCAATACTATTGCCAACCCACTGCTAACATCAAATATGTATTATGTGAATGAATTATTAAAAATAAATCGTGCCTTGCTTATCGTGGCAGTATACATATTTGCTGAAATTTACAATGGAATGTCATCACAATGTAAAATTTTACAAATGAATTTAACGCATCAAACTTTATCATATGACAATCGTGGAAAACATGATTAAGCAATACGAATATGATAAATGATCAGAAAAAAAATCCTTGACCATCTCGGTAGTAGTAACCTTCTGCACTATTATGGCAATACAACATCAACGCTATGGTAGCTGATTGGTATCATGTCTTGATGTCGCTCTTCAAAGAGCGACAACCCGACATCACGACAACCCAAAAATACATTTTCTCCGGACACCACGACATTAAAAATGTCGTAATGTTGCCCAAAAATGTCGTATTGTCGGGTTAAAATGTTGTAATGGCGGTTGTCGGCCATGCTCTCCTCAATATACAGTATGATTATGTACACCGGTCCTGGTTACTCCCTGTCGATAGTGCAGGACGAAGGGCCTGGCAATGAACAATGCCTAGTTGTGTAGATGGGACAAAAACACAAACTCCCGCGTACACATTGGCGTGCACATAAACTAACCTTTCACAGTTGAAATTTGATAAAGAAATGCCACTGCCCATTGAAAATTTCCATTATAGCACTCTCCATAGCGTATGACTATCTTCAATAGTCCGATTGGTGCAGAAAAGTAGGAAAATGAAATGAAATGGGGCTTAACGCCCAAATGTTCTGCTCCGTCTGGAATAATGAAGACGGGCATACGCTATACAGTGTGCTATGAGGGAAACTTTACCGGATAGCGGCGCTACGGCCTACTCTTCTATTGAATTCCAACTGTCTGGGGATCTTTTACATGCACGCCAACATGTACATAGAACGTCAGTTTTCGTCCCATCCGAACAACTATACGTTATCCCATACCAGGCCCTCCGTCCTGCCCCCCTGTCAAAGAGGAATCATGAAAGGTGGCATCCGTCCTGCACGACAATCGCGATTTTACGTACAATCAGGGGCCATAATTCAGGAAGGTACGATCCGATGTGCGCAATTATCGAAAGGTATCAAGATCTTTGGGTTATAAACATGCATTTCGGTTACAAAACCATTAGAGAACTTTAGAGTTGCTTAACTCACGGGCTGGAGAAGCAGAAAAACGCATTTGCGTAGTTAAATTTTCAAAATCTTCTCCGGGAGGCCGAAACCCCCATACTCCAAGTCGATTGATTTGTTGTTGGGAAGTCAGGTCAGCCACTGACATAGCAGGAACACGTGTTTGCAGCAGTTAAATTTTCTCCCGACGATTGATTGGTTGATTGGAATTCAAGTCAGCCATCTTAATTAGGCTTTATTATCGCAGAAGACCGGCGCCGCAGTCTGTAACCCGAAATGTTTGGGGGCATTTCCGATTCTGCCCGTCTAACTGTCATCGAGCCCGTACGCCTGAAATAAGAAACCTTCCATCCCTTGCTATCTTTGCAAATTCGCTAACAGATTAGATATCATCGTGCCACCATATTATTATCTAGGGAAAAGAAAATTACAAATAATCCACTGTAAACCAAGATTATGCTGCTCAAATTTACAAGGCCATAAATTCCTCAGACAAGTCAATGATAGCCTTGCTTGTCTCTGTGGTCAAACATTCGAAGATACCGAACACTATTTACTCGTATGCCCCTTACATTCAGATGCAAGTAATCAGACAACCCATAACCTTCAACATAATCGTAAAACAACCAGTTGTCTGTTGTATGGGTCAACAAAATTTAGTCCTGAGATAAACACACTTATTTTTCAAGAAGTCTAACAATTTAATCTTTTATCAAAAAGAAATCTCCATAAAAAAACCTCTTAAGTTATTTCAAGCCCTGCACACTGTACAATCATCTAAGTCTCTAATATTATCCATTATGTATGTATGTATGTATGTATGTATGTATGTATGTATGTATGTATGTACATGTATCTAAATCAGTGGAATGAAATAAAATGGGGATTAACGTACTACTTTTCTGCTCCGACTGGACCAATGAAGACGGACATACGCCATACAGTGTGCCATGAGAGAAATTTTTCCCGGGTAGCGGCACTATGACCTACTCTTATATCGAATTCCAACTGCCAAGGGATCTTTTACGTGCATGCCAATGTATACATAGTAGGGGAGCTAGCTGACTGTTGTTCCTCAACTCGCGGACAAAATTGGCACTATGCCTAACGGAGACACCATGATGGCCGATGATCAGAATGGGAATTCTTAAGTTGCACGTCCCCTGCGTTTAGGGGCTGTACAGCCCCGAAATCGCATACAGTGTGAGGGAAATTTTGCCCGGGTAGCGGCACTATGGCCTACTCTTATATCGAATTCCAACTGCCAAGGGATCTTTTACGTGCATGCCAATGTATACATAGTAGAGGAGCTAGCTGACTGTTGTTCCTCAACTCGCGGACAAAATTGGCACTATGCCTAACGGAGACACCATGATGGCCGATGATCAGAATGGGAATTTTTAAGTTGCACATCCCCTGTGTTTAGGGGCTGTACGTCCCCGAAATCGCAGAAAAAGTCGATTTAATTCAAATTTAATCTTCACTACATATCGTTTACGTTGCTAAGGCAAACTTAAAAGTGCCCTTCAGAACAAAAAATTACCTGGCTTCTGGCTTCAGAACGTCCCCTAGTGACCCGAGTACGTAGGTTTATTTCAAATATTACGGACAACTTTGATTCCTTTTTCAGCTGATAGGGTTTTTCTTTTTTTGTTCTAGACAATATTTATTTACAGACACTGGATTGGAGAACAGGCAGAAGCCTATAGACCCCCTTTGGTATGGTCCCAAAGTAAATAAAACACAACTTCAGAACCAATAATCCCCTGGATTCCTAGTCCAGAACGGGTTCCAAACATTATAAAATCCCGGTAGAACTAGTAGAAGACTGGTTTGTTTCAATTGTGGCTGACAAAATTCTCCTTTCTTGTGAATGGTGCCACAGTTGACCTATAAATAAAAAGTGCCCTTCAGAAGAGAATATCACCTGGTTTCTGTACTTCTTCACGGACAACTTTGATTACTGTTTCAGTTCATAGGGTATGTTCCCAAAAAACACCACGTCAGAACACAGAAGCCTCTGGGTTCTTCCTGCAGATGAGGAATTTTTGCAGGTTCCTCTAGGTACATTCCTATAGAAGGTCTAATGGAAGAACAGAAAGACCAACAAACAAAAGGAACAGAAGTTTCAAATATTTGATAAAAACCGAATCATTACAATAGAATTTCAAGTATTTGCTTAAAAGACAATATTGGTGTCAGTTATTATCACATATGGTTAAACGCGTCCCAAATATAATTTTAACAGAGAGATTATTGCTACGATAGATACGTAACGAAGATTTCCAAAAACGGAAGTGACGAAAGCAGAAGTAAAACACGAGTTTGGTTTTTAGAAAATACTTGAAATTCTATTCATATCGTTTGGTTTTCAGCAAAAAGTTGGAGTTCTACTCATATCATTTAGTGTTAAAGGACAATATTGGTGTCAGCCATTTTCACATATGTGATAGAACTCGTTAAACACGTTCCAAACATAATTTTAACATAGATCATTGACAGTTGGAATTGGATATAAGAGTAGGCCGTAGCGCCGCTGTCCGGGCCTACTCTTATATCGAATTCCAACTGCCAAGGGATCTTTTACGTGCATTCCAATGTATACACAGGACCTCGGTTTTTCGTCTCATCCGAAAGACTAGACAGCTGTCCTTGTCAGGCCCTCCGTTCTGCACCACTAACAAGGGGAAACCACGTCGGAAAATCCAGATGAACTTTCTCGGCCAATGCAGGGATCTAACACCCGACCTCCAGGCTAGCGAGCCAGCGTCTTAACCACCCAGCCACCGTGGCTCCCAACTAGTTTAAAAAAGTTCCAAATATAATTTTAACACAGATCATTTCTACGATAGGAAAACACGAGTTATCCTTCTATATAACTGACTGTTGTAACGACCGATAACGGGTACACGGGCAACTTTTTGTGACAAAGTACTTTACAACTTTCATCAAATTGAACGACCATTTAGGTGCATAGAACTTATTGACCTAAGATATTTTTTTGATAATATATTATATTGACTTTTCAACTCTGTATATACTTCTGTTAAGGCACGAACTGGCTATGATCTAATTAAACATGTAACTAATCCTATATGCCCACTTACAAACTACATATGATCTGTGTACAAGCTCTTCATGACTTCAAAGGAATACGCACTGGTCAGTAAGCATACCATGAAGTGATAAAGAGACAATTGCATGCATGAGTCTTATCTATTGTTGGAGTTTATATAAGCAGGAGTTTGGAGACGTCTAAAAGAGCAGGAGAGACGAACAGAGACGAGCAGAGAGACCGGCATATGGACTCGCCCGAGTTTAGCCGCTGCGGCAGAGGGGCGGAATGGTAGATTTAATATAGTTATGTACCTCCCTGGTGTGTTCCTGTCGTAGTCTAGTTCCTGTATATTAGTTTAAGTTTCTGTATTGTTTTGTATGTAGATGTGTTATATTCTGTTCCGATGTAAATAAACCCTAAACTGAACTCTGTTATCACTAAAATAGTGTTACATTTCTGCTCACTGATAATTCCTTCGAAGACCAAGAGTTGTTATAGAGAGGATATCTGATAATTAAAAAAAAAATTAATTAAATGTCACTAAATAAGAGAAAACGAGGAAAATTGAAATAACCCGTATATTCCCTTGTTTTTATTCACTCTATACTTAATACAAACATGGTAATGCACGGCCCTTTTCTATTTTTCTTTTTATTTTTTTCATTTTCTCTTAACTAGTGACAGTCAATTCTTTTTATAAATTGTCAGATATCCTCTCACAGTTTCATATAACAACTTTTGGTCTTCGAAGGAATTATCAGTTAGCAGTAATTCGCCCTTGTACCTGTTATCGCTCGTTACTTCAGTCAGTTATATGGCCACAGATCACTAAATATTTCCCCATTGACTTAATGTTTATTCTCGTATCTTAGACCGGCTCTAACTTTTTCCCAAATTTTCGTTGGGTAGAACGTTTTCTGCCACAGATGGAGCAAAAGCATGTATGAGGTTCACCATGAAAAACTTGAGATACACAAGCTGGAAGTAGAGACAAGTAAACATGCAATTTTCGACCCTACATTTCAATCTAACCTAACCAACCTCTCAACTCTTGTATCCTTCCGCCTCAAAATCAGGAATATTCACCAAGCCTAGCAGAAAATGTATTTTCAAACCCTTTTCTTCGATTCTACACCAAAAAGTCAACAAAAATCGCCATGCAAAAGGGGGAAAAAGGGAAAGGGAGAGAAAGACTAAAAATAACTTTCGCCCTACATAGAAATATTTGGTGGTCTGTGTCGATATAGAAGGATAACTCGTGTTTTCCTTTTTCTATTGTCACCGCCGTTTCTTGAAATCTTCGTTACGCATCTATCGTAGTAATGATCTATGTTTTAAAATTACTTTGGGACCATACCCAAAATTGTCCGTCGTATTTGAAATAGCCCTCTATATCGGGGTCACTAGGGGGCGTGCAGAAACCAGGTGATATTCTCTTCTGAAGGGCACTTTTATTTATAGGTCACTTGTGGCACCATGCTCACGACGAAGAATTTTGTCCGCCATACTTGAAACAAATCAGTCTTCTACCGGAATTTCAGCTTGAAACAGGTTCTTGAGTAATAACAAATCAGTCTTCTACCGGAATTTCAGCTTGAAACAGGTTCTTGAGTAATAACCCAGGGGATTTTTTGTTCTGAAGTGGTGTTTTATTACTTTGGAACCATACCCTATTAGCTGAAAAAGGAATCAAAGTTGTCCGACATATTTGAAATAAATCTACGTACTTGGGTCACTAGGGGGCGTTCTGAAGCCAGAAGCCAGGGGATTTTTTGTTCTGAAGGGCATAGGCGTACGAGCTGTGGGGGCTTTACGGGCGGCCCCAATCGAATTTGGCCTCCGGGCAAAGCCGGGTATTCTGCTAGTAGTTAATAAAGCGGAAAGCTTTAAAAAAAATTTAGTTCGTGGATGTGCCGGTCGTCATAGCATGGCATTATAAACTTTTTGGATATTATAAAGTACACCTAAATAAACACAAAAATGCATAAAAACGTTTTATTTCTATTATTTATTTGGGGTAAAAATTGGATTTGGATCGGTTTATCTAGTTTTTCTAATGCAAAACATCGGTCATGCTAATTACAAGAGTTTTTGTCAAATGAGATATTTCAAAGTAAATACCGGTTGCACTTTGAAAAGTATGCAGCTATCTGTTGATCGTCCTATCCGAACGACTTGGCGGTGTTCCTTGTCATGCCCTCCGTCATGCACTAATGACAAGAGGAAACTACGCTGGAAAACACTGAGCAACTCTCTCGTAAACCCCGGGGAAGAACCTATAACCCCGCCCGCCCCACACACCATTTGTACAAGCAACACGGGCCGTGGATTAATTATGTATTGTAAGGCATGGCGGGAGAGTACTATCATAATATTACGGATATACCGCTCTAATATCTATAAAATTGAAATCCGTAAAACTTATTGCAATTCATTTTATATACATTTATATAGTGTATCAAATATACAAATGCAAATATAATTTACACATTACATATAATTATTATGTTTGATTTCAGTCAATTTATAAGTAAATGTCCATATTTGGTAAGGATCTTGATGATTACACCTTCCCATCTGCACCATCTGTTTCCCAAAGTGCAGTGGTGTAATATTAGTCACGTGTTTCGCACACCAGAAAATACCACGTGTGTCTTTGTAAATAAGTTGACCCCCGACTTTACCTATAACATTGAACTTCCACCCCCGCCCTTTAAGCTCATGGACGCACATGCATTTCGTTTTCCTAAGCAATAAATTAGACTCGTCCATATAAACACATTGGCCTTCGTGAACAAGTTGGCTTTTCTTGTCCAGACTAAAATGGTTTTCCGGTAGAATTCGATGCATGTAACATTCATTGGTAATGGCAATGTAGCCGTCCAAGAGTGGCCCCCAACATTGAGCAGTTTTATGATTGGTGATCTCTCCAAAGAAATCGTCCAGTTTTGAAGGAATTCTTATCTCTGGCATCACATTCTGAAGAAACCAACGGAAAGGTTTACAGTTCAGTGTCTTCCGAAGATGTTTACGTTTAACACGTGAGTGCATCTCTTCAACCGACACCCGGGGTTCTTGTCCGAAAGTCAAAGATACGGATTCGAATATCCATTTATATTCGTCTAACCAAATATCAGCTACCCTCATTAAATTCTTTCTAATTATAGAAGAACGATCCCCATTGAAGTCGTAGGCAAATTGTTTAAACATATGACCAACACGAGAACATGGTACAGTTAGAATCCGTCCACCACACAGCCAAGTCCGAAAGGACAGATCAAAATGCTCACCACCCCAAATATTCAATCCATCATCGAACTGACCAGTAGCAACGAAATAGTCCTTACGTGCAGCAATTGCACAACCAACCAAAATTGGCGTTGGGAATGGATCCAGTTTAGAAGTTAATACTTGGCTTAAATATTTTGGTAATTTGTACCATGCATACCTGTAATAGAAACTCTAATATATATTTCAGACGAAAACAATATTATTAGAGTTATACTTATTCGTTTTAGAAAACGATAAGTCCTCACCAATTTCATTTCTCTTCTTCTGGGTCTTGATAAATCTTATTAAATAGCCATTTGAATCACATAAAAGATGTTTAGTTTTAAAACTTCAAAAATTAAAAATTTGGAATTAAAAGCTTTTGAACAGCGCAATCATGTAAGTTTGATTCTTAAATTTTTAACAGGTGTTCTCGAAGAATAGAAATAGAATTAGTGTGGCCTAATACTTCTCATTTTGTGTGTGCATTCGCCTAATGATTCATCCTATGACTGAATTTATATGGGCAGTCGAAAATGTCACATAATATACTAATGTCCAAAAGAAAGTATACACACTAAAAATATGACTAAGTTTTGTTTAAATCAACAAAATGTGATAAAACTACACTGAACATGTCTCGTGCGTCCAAATTCAATATTTCTAAGCAAATAAACGGCAAAACAAATGGACATTGTACCCAAATACCACATACAATGGAAAAACGTTTTTGTTTGAAGCAGAACGAAATGCCCAGTGTATACTTTCTTTTGGGCATTAGTATGTATTTATACAAAAGTAAAACAGAATTTGTTACCTTACTGAATTTAAATTCGCAGTGGTGTCGGGGTGTTCTAGAATAAATAAGCATGCCTTTTGCGTACACGACATCTTGTGACCATTTTAGGATATTGGTTTTAATTCGATGAAGAGTAGGCAGATACACCGATGTTTCCATCAAATTAAGTATGGCGTATAAGGACATTAAACCCCATTTTATTTTCTTTGGATAAGAAGAACAAGACTCTAAACAAACAGGCTAAAAGATAAATGCATCAAATGAAAAAAAAAAAAATATTGGATACAGTGGTATATACTTACCTCAAATCCCAACCAAATCCACCTCGATATACATCACCTGGATACGCAAAAAACTGGATTGTATCTGATGAAATAACATCTACATGCGGCTGTACAATAGTGACATTGTTCTTGAATAGCTCGTAAACCAGGGGTTCTAACCACCCGACGTTACATTCGGTATGAGCGTCTAACCATACTAGAACATCTCCAGTAGCCATGTTAGCTCCATAAAGTCTTGAGCGAACCAATCCCTGTCTTTCAGGATTTCTCAATATATGTACCCTTGGATCTAAAGCCTTAACGTACATGTCCAAATCATGTCCCAAATCTTTATTAGAGCTGAAATCGTCCACAAGAATCAATTCTTTTAACATAGATTTCGGAGAACGTTCTAAAACGCTGTGGGCTGTCCGCATCAGTGTTGTGAAAGCTTCATTGTAAAATATTACAATAACGGATACCGACACCCCTATTGGAACTTTGTAGATAAGGGCGTCACACCCTTTGGGTCTTGTATCTGCTATGTGTCTGCTTAAAGGAATAGCATCACTTATACTAACATTGAAATTATACGCGGAATCTGGGGGACGCAGATGTTTTCTAAGAATACCCTTAAGTAAGTCCTCCAGCTGATGGGTCCTGGTCTGGGTATGAAGTGCGTGGCTTCTTCTGTCGTAGGGTCTATGAATAAAATGAATCTTTAATATTAATTTTATCGAAAGCACCTATAGATTTAAATGTGCATATGTGTAAGAGTATATAACTTATAACAGTGCGTACCATGCCGTATTGGGGGTGTCCGCGTCCAGTACACTTTGCAATGACACCGTACCCAATACCCTACTCCCCGGATCGAATTTTCAAAACGTTTATGGGTGAGTACTCCCAGAGACCTAGAATTGGTTCCACTACTAATGTCTTTCGTTTTGCTCCAGCCACAGTAGTAGACCGCCCTAAGCCCTCTTTTGAGCAAGTTTTGTAGTCATTTGACTACAAAAAAGTTACTAGCCTTTAACTCCCTTAATTTCCAATTACACTGTACTGTTACTACTGTACATAGCTTAACAGATAATAAACCAATTCCTATTGAAATAAAGGTGAAACCTTGCCGCATAATTATATAATTTAATTAAACCCAACTGCTATGCGAAATTTCTGTTCATTTTAAAATGGCCGCTGAACCAGAATCGCATGATTTTATGTCACTCGAAAATACAGAAAAACTGTTCGGTAAGATAAGATTAAGATTTCAGTGTTCCACTCTTCACTATTTGTAACATAATTACTTATTTCCATGCAAACTGTGACGATATGTGTTAAAAAGTTTGCAATTGAACCTAATTTTACTTGCTCAAAGCCTCGAATAGTGTATCAATTGTAGCTGTGAATAAGAATGATCACGCGTACAACTATTGCAACTACCAAAGACCCTGTCGATGTTTTAATTACATAAACACCCATGCTACTCTTTGGTTAAAATTGGATTACAATTTCGTTTTCCTTAATTCAACAGTACATTGTAGTCATGTTCATCGGATTCTCATTTAAATAACTAGACACACTTTAGATAAACCCAATCAAAATAAACAAAAGGGAGTGGGGAAAATCAAAATTGGGCAGGGATTTAGATCTTTAAATAAAGTAATACAAAGAAAGCTATAATCGTGTATCATTACCTTTTGTCTGTACTTAATTCTTCATGCTTCGAAACGTCTTCACTTTTCAACGATTCGGTTGATAGTTGAGAGATCAAAAACAGTGCCTCGAGAGCAAACAGAATTATGAAGAATATTGCCCACGAAATAAGTTGACCTCTGTGGCATCTGTAAGGCGGTCGCAGAAAATCCATTGATTTTATATGAAGTAATGTTTCAAAGGTGTTGCCAAACAACAAATACAATTATATTCCCTGGAGTAGATCCTCTCGTGAACAATGCACGTGTTATGTTGATATTATGGTGTTAACTGGACAGTCACTTATATCAAGACGCATTTTCTGATACCAAGGTGCATTTCCTGACAAATCGTCAAAATCAGGTTTATTAATCGAGACTACATCAATGTAAACAAGTTCTATTGGGACTTCTAATATTTGAATATGCAGAGGTAGTCCAAAACAGGGTAGACTAATTGATAGGGGTAGGGGGTAGGGGTAGGGGGTGGGGGTAGGGCGTAAAACCGGCTAAATGTTGACGTTTCGCGGCAGAAAATATAAACAGCACATAGTTTTAACGAATGGCGCCCTTGGTTACCAAAGCTTATCGATGTTCAACGATTTCTGGGATCCTCCTAAATTTGGGTTACACTTGATTACGATGGTCTTGTTGAGCTATTTATTTTCAATAATACAGTATTAATTAAATTGTTACACTTGTTTATATGCAACAGTTTTAACATTTAGCCTGTGGGTGATGGGTGGCCAAATGGGTTAACGGGCGCGCTTTAGATCATAAGGTCTGTCATGTGGCGTGGTTTCGATTCCCCGCTTGTACGGCGACAAGGAGTACGGTTTCCTGCCACTGCTAAATACCCCTACGCGCAAGCGAATTATTGAAATAAAATTGAACCATATGTTAGTCACGAAATGTGTCGAGTGGACGTTAATCTATGCCTATATTTTTATAAAAACTTTCAATATGTCTAAGTTCATTTGTCTATACATGAACTATTGACCTAATATTAAAATCCCCAAACATTTGTAACGATAAAGTTAATCATGGTTTCAAAAGTCCTCTATATATTACGGTAGCTTTATAAGTACTTTTATATATCGTGAACAATAATTCTAAAATATCTAAAGAGAAAATTATACAGACTAAACTGCATGCACATCGCCCCTTAAAGATTCTGTATGATTCGTATCCTGTATTTTCGGTTATTGTTAATATGACATTATGTGATATTAATTATATTTAATTCTTGCGGAAAGTTATAAATTCTCTTTAAGGTTAAATATGTTCTTCTATGGGCTCATTTTCTGGATTACTGATGGTGTTTATACGTGGAGGTCCGATTCCTTCATCAGTCATTGCGTGTCCGATTGTAGAATGACCTTTTCCTTCATAAACCCTATTTTCACATTTGTCATAGATCTTCCCTTTCAGCTCGCCATAAACTCTTCTGTTGCAGACAAAGGCCAAAAAGAGTATAACACCCTGGGCGCCAAACAATACAGTGAATAAATAATGGAAGGTCTCGTATCCCGTAGCCTCGTATATGAATGAAAAAATCCAAGTGAGTCCAGTGATAACAGATAGTTTCAGACAAGCGAACATACTGATTTGATTTTCTTGGTTGGACTGAAGTTTTTTGTCTCGTCGCAGGTTGGTGAACGTGTAACAGAATAAAATAACGTTCAGTAACACCAGTACTCCCACGGGTAGAGCAAAGGCGAATCTCCTGGAAGTAGGCGTGGTGATATAGCAGGATGATCCTCCATACCCCAGGTTACCAAACTGTAGCTGAGAAGTTAGAATAACTACCATAACTATCATCATAGGACATCCCCATGTATAGAGAATTGAGGATAGCACAAATTTACGTTTGGATATAATTCGTGACTCAATCGGGTACGACAAATTGTAGAAAAGGATAATTGTACATACATTCATCCAGAAAGTAGCTGACAACCAAAAATGATGAATGAGGATTCCAAGTGTTTCACAAACCCACTTTATCTCGGTTTGTTCAGCTCCAAATTCAAACAATGTCTGGGCTATGAGAAGTGTTACAGTCAGTGCCATGATACTTTGTCCTATCGATGTACAATGTTTCTTCAGAAGACAGAACACAAGAAATGTGATGAAAAGAAAAAACAAGGAACAACTTGTACAAATACCAGACAAAAGACCGAGAGGTGAATACTTTGGTTTTGGTTTGGAAAGGCTTTTGTCTAATTTGATTTCCCCACATTCACTCGACGTACCTCTAAATGTTTCAACACCAACGTAATCCTCGACACAGATAAAATAACCTCCTTCCTCCGCGAAATCAAATTCAAATATGCCGAGAGTCTTGTTGTTCACGTGTATCATCAAACTTGTTCTATCGGCTGATATTGTTACTTCAGAGTGATGAATTATCATTCTTGGGCAAGTGTAAATCTTCCTGTATAAAATTAAATGCGCACGATTTATTACTGATAAATCTTCATTTTTGAAATTTTCTTTAGTCACCATCCCTGTATTATACCATGTACATGGTTTTGATGAGTCACTATTTACAATAAGACTTCCTACATCATTTTTACACTGATACGTAAAGGATACCTCGAAGGACACACTTTCGTTGCCTGTCTTCCCAAGTTGAGGAACTTCGGTCAAAAGGGAATCCTCAAAGCGATTGATGTCGACAGGTTCCCGAAATAAAACAGTACAATTTATCTTCCATACGATATTCATTAATTCTCTGCATGGACTCAGATATTTGACCGAGGAAGTCATGTGGACCGGTATGCCCTTCATTTGTAGGATTTTGCGCTCTAGCATGATCATTGGTTGCTGAATTCTGTCAGGATCAACCATTGACGATTTGAAATTCATTACCACGTCCAAACAGAACTGATACATGTATGAATTGGTAAGTTTGTAAACTGATATACATCTCCCTTCTTTGAATCGCTTACCATTTACACAACTTACGTTTCTACAATTACACTACATAAAAAGTAAAGAAAAAAGTGCATGACAATTTGAGTTTATGTACATCTAATATAATGTACGATCGAAATTTAACTACTAATTAAACATTATCTACAAGTACCCAAGACAAGCTGGGTAATATGGCGGTATATAAGATTCAAAATTCTAACATGCTATCGTCTAATATCCAACCTCTATTCATGTAATTTCGAACTTCTATTCATGTAATTTCTAAATTAAGACAATGTAGGCTATAATCCAACTTCTTTATTTGTTCAGTGTAAATTTTAATTCTGTTACATCTTATATCTATTATAAGACGAAAAATGTCTACTTCATTGTCGCTTTTACATTAAAATCAGAACGTCGAACAAATTTAGAATTTTTGATACTTCTACCTGGCAACCATCATTATGACGTCGTTTGGTGTCGCCACCCACCGTGTGCCAAGTTTGGCGATTGAGCACCTGATCGGGACCATTATGTTGATACAAACGACTCGCTCTTCGTCAGGTTAACTGGTTTGGCTGAGTGTTAATATTGAAAACAACATCGAACGTGATATGGTTTGCAGATACTATTTCAAATACAAGTTAAGCAACTTTTGTTCATTTTTTTTAAGACAAGTGCAGGATTTGGAGAATTTTATTTGACTATTTTTACAGTTAAGCCAATTAATATTTATAGTCTGTTAGTCTACATTCTTTTACTGCTTGAAAAATGTCTCTATACCATCCGAACGACTAGCCACTGTCCGTGCCAGACCACCGTCCTGTATCACTAACAAAGGGGGCGGGGGCGTTGGCGGGGGGAGAACCACGCCGGAAGATATCGGTTATCTCACAGAAATATACTTGTATATATCTATGGGTTGTATACATCGTCAGCTAGTATACACACTGGCAAAACGATGCTTTATAATATTTCTGACATTATTAGTTCTATCCCTGTGATTTGCGGAGGCTGTCGTTATTATAGGTAGGGTCAGTGTCAAGTCGTTCGGATCGGACGAAATCCTTGGCAGCTGTAATTCGTAATAACAGTAGACCGTGGCGCCGCTGTCCGGGCTAAATTTCATCCATGACACACTGTATGATGTAAGTCCGTCTTCATTAGCCCAGTTGGCTAATTTCGCCAAGAACATCGCTATCTATGATATTCCGTATCGCTTTTTGTTGAAAAAAAAAAACTATCATAAAGTTAGTCAGGTCGGTATAATGCAGGAATTAGAAATAAAACTTCATCGCTATCCACATGAACATTCTACCCCGGTCTCCTTTAACTGCAGCTTCATCCCCACAATATGGGATTTCTATATTTATATCTCTGTACCATTTCAAGAAAAAGTTTATAATTATAAAGGCACATTTTTTTTAGAGCAGTAATAGAATACAGATCATCAGTATATAAATATTAATATTGGCATAACTGTAAAAAAAATCTAAATTTTCCAAATCCTTCACTTGTCTTTAAAAACAAAAAAAAAACAAAAAAAAAATAAAAAAAAATCTTGTTTAACTTATATTTGAAATATTATTTCCCAACAATATCGCTTTCGATGTTGTTTTCAATTTCAGCATCGATTCCGCGGTTGTACGTTACAAGGAGTGGTATGGCCTGTCCAACCTCGTGGGTTTTCTCTGGATCCTCCGGTTTCCTCCTACTGCTAGACCCCTACACGGAAGCGAATTATTGAAATAAAATGGAACCATATGTTAGTCCCGAAATGACCTAGTTTGTGTCGAGTGGTCGTTAAACCCCATTTCTCTCTCTCTCTCACTCTAAATTTCAGCACTCCGTCCGACCATCAACCAGACGAAGAGCGAGTCGTTTATGTGTAGTTTAATGGTCGAGTGCCTACGCATGTTAAATGAAATAAAAATTAATGTAATAAAATTTTGAATGTACAGAAAGTTTTATCATTTTTAAAGGGAATAACGTTCTGGGAATTCGAAGCTACATTATAATAGTACTTCCGGTTTTCGAAGTTACACTAATACTTCCGGTTTTGAGAAAACCGAGTATTCCGACACTCTGCGTAATCCGATATGGTGTACGATGTCGGATTTGACAGAGTCCATTGTATTGATATTGCACGAGTGCGTTTACCACGAGTGCTATATCTATACATTACACAATGTCTTGCACGAGATAATTATGGCTGCTAAGCAGAAGTGTAAAAATTCAAAATTCGTTGATGTTTCATGCTAAACGTGTAAAGCATCAATGAAGAAGACGTTTTTCGTCAAAATAATAGAAATAAGAGGAAATAGAATTAAAATTTGCACTGAATAAATAAAGAAGTTGGATTATACATTGTCTTAATTTTAAAAATTACATAACAGTGGCTACTCGGACCTCATTCTTGGGTTGCGACCCCCATCTCACTAACAGTTCAAGGTCCAGAGTCCCAACCATGCATGATGCTATCTTTTGTCATATATAAGGTAACACGATAAAGGACCATGTCTTAATTCTCTATCGTAAATTTATAGATTCAACTCTAAAACAATCCAACTTTTACCTGGTATGGGTCAAACATCGGACAATCTCCCGCTTTACTAGTTAGTTCTTCATCGTCGTCATCGCTCAAATCTAGAAGGGCAGATAACTCTGTCAGAAACACGTTTGGTGTGTAGCCTGTCGTTTCCTTCTTTATGTCGACCCAGCTATTCATATGGTTGCACATGTAGCAAAATAAATTCTTGTACGTTCCAACTGGATTTTCCGCTAGAGTATAGCACCCCCTTTCAACAAGTGGATCATACTCTTTCCAATAGCCCGTTTCATTACACGAATACGAGTATTTGTTTTCGTTGTGCTGAAATTTTGAGCATACATGAGCTGTGAAATTGTCTGGAGGTACCATTTGAACCGTGCAACCTTGTGTATTGACGATACTCAAATAAACATCTTCTTTTGATGCATCTATATAATTCCAAGATGGCCCGTACTCACATATAGCACCTACATGCCAAGCCTCGCTCTTCTCAACATCATTGCACTGTGCACAAAATTGGTTTCTGTAGGTAAGACCAGTAGTATTATCAGTTACTGGTTGAAGGCTTCTTCTATCGTTAACATATGTCGTGGTGCACTTCTGCACAAGCTCTGCGTCCTGGTGGTCGTTTGGACAATAGTCGATCATTATTACATTATTCCCTAGTCCGGGGAATGCTGTCGGCAAACATTTTGATGATACAATGTTTATGTAGTCAACATTCAGATCTGGGCAGCAGTCGCCATAATATTGACAAGAGCGATCACAGAAGCATGGTGAGCAATATCTGTTAATAATTGTTTTCAATTTCCCGGAACAGTCTTGCAAGCAGTAAATTTTGTAAATATAATTAGCCTGCGATTCGAAATCGCTGTAAAAAACACTTGCCTCTTCAAATGCTGAACTATACTTTGTGAATGGTGGTTCAGCTTGGCGTACACCATTGAAAGCATTAGCCGAAACAAAGAGAACTACGAAGAGGTAGTCTGTGACCGTTAGTGGAACAAAACACGCCATGTTTATTCTTCAACTAACTTTAGAATAAATGTGGTTTTCTAGTCTTTATAATACCAATAAATTGGCGCATATCAGTTACAACGTAAAAATAAAATGTTCGTATTTGAAACATCCGTGTTCAAATTGATGCAAATGTACAGCAGAAATTGTTGAAATGAGAAGCAGAAAATGGTGATTTGGCCGGTTGAGCGATAATTTTGACTCGGGTTTTCAGAAGATGGGGTTACTTGGTAGAAGGATTGGCGCGAATTTTAGCTATGTTAAAGATGCATTATGCAAGAGCAAAATCTGCTTATTACAAGTCTTTCTTTAAGCCTGAAATGTTATCTAAATTATCAATTAGACATTAATTAACTTATCCAGACCATAATAAACTCTCGATGTCAAGGCTAGCCTTCGATGTTGGCTGGATTCGATTCCTATATGCCGCTAACGGCTAGTGATAATTAAATAAAAAAAGTGGATAATCGAGACTATGCTGTTTATATTAATGATTTTAGTGATGATAACCGAGAGTATGCAAAAATTTCACCCGCTTCTTTCTCGGCTCATAGTGGATCAATTTGACTGAAATTTTCAGGAAATTACCTTTACCCTATCTAGTTTTTAACTATTATAGCGAGAGCTGCCATCTCTTTATCTTATCTCCCATAATGTATCTTTAATGCCCTCGTATACATAGGAATTCCTATCAGGTGTTCTACAAAGAGTACAGACACCTTGTCTTACTGTATACTGTAAAGTATATCGATTTAGTTGATCTGTATGAGTTTATATTCTATAACATCTATAGAAATGTTGAAAGGTCATCTTTTTACCGTGTACCAGGCAATTAGTAATACGGATTTTACTAAATGCGTAGTTAATTTTGTCCGACACGATGAAATAGTTTCGTGGTTTAAGTTTTCATCTCTTAATGGCATATATTAGTTGGTAAACAAAAATGAATATCCATTACACCAACAGATAGTGTTACATAATTGAACAATAAAATGTTCAAATCACTGTGGATTAGGAGGATAAAGAGAGGTTTATATATTATTATTCAAAATGCCATTAATGTTTTCATTAGAGGATCATTTATATTACATTTATCTCGATTCTTTGAGAGTAATTAGTAATATGAAAGCATTAAACTATTATGTGTTGTTATGCAATTAATAAAGTTTAGATCGTGTTTTAAGATTTAGTTATGCTTATCATGAATAGCACAGAGTTAAAATGACACAATTTGTATTTACGATTATGGCTTACAAAACAATTATAAATTCCAGAAAGTTTATTTCCAAATTTTTTCTTTATGAATGGTTTACACACTGAACATGTTTCGAGGTTTTGAATTAAAACTCTGCAATAAATTTCAACC